AAAAAAAAAAAAAAAAAAATGATCTCGAGATATGGTTCATTATGTAACATAATGAATTAAATTTTTTTCATTAATAAGATTATAAAGTACTTAATACTGTGCAGAGCATAATAAATTCTTAGTATCAGGGCTGTTACTCATTCTTGTTATTAAGTAAGGCACACCTCGAATCTATTTTTATATAAATAAAATTTTTTTTAAATGTCGGGTTCTAGGGCTGGGGAGATAGCTCAGCAGTCTAAACACCTTCCTGGCAAGCATAAGGACCCAGGTTTGATCCCCGGTATTGCATACCGTGTTGGCCCTGCACAAAGCGGGCCACTGAAACTGGGCGTAGTGGTGCATGCCTATAAGCCCAGCATTGAGGAGGCTGAGACAAGATCATCACTATGCATCTGAGCTGCGGAGTAAGACCCTGTACCAAATAAATAAAGATTTAAAAATATATATATAAGAATGTCTGGCTCTTAAAGTGTATGAAAAACATTTGATAATCTTCAAAATCACTACTGGTAAGGAAATAATAAATACAAGAGTATTCACTACTTCATATCATTATTAAACACTATTGGCTATGAAAGTAATGACTTTATTAGACTCCAGAGTTATATGCTGTATAACATCAATGTTATTAAAAGGGGTTGCTATCAGAAGTTATTCAAAGAGGCCTAATGATGGAATTAATCTCTGTGCTCTAATAAATGACTATGGTAGGAACAAAACTGGAACTGGGGTTCAGGAGACCCGATTGCTAGTACTGGCTCTGCAACTAGGTAACTTTGGAGGAGACTCCAATCTCTGTGAACTTCAATTTTATCATCAATAAAAGATACTAGTCATCTAATTTTTTTCCCTTTCAAAAACTAATAGGACGTGCAGTACGGTGCCACACCCAAGTCCTACACTCAAATACCATCAGCAGACTTGAATCTCCAAGGCCTTACTACTGATACTAATCTGTGTCAGGGATAATTTAAAAATACCCCATTTATTACTTCTAGATTTTAGGGGAAGGAGGGTTAAAAAGTCTGACAAGCTTTCCAAGGATGATGAATGCTTTAGAAACACTTTCCAGGGCACTATACATTCTCTAATCTCCACACCTTTCTTTTTGTTTCTCTGTCAACATTTACTGGAAACGTACATCGTACCAAACACTGTTTATAGCCTATCTTATTTCAATTATTAAAGCCCAATGAAAAGCAGTTTCTAACAAGTGAAGTCTTCCATGACTGGACCCAAACTGTATAATTAGTAAGTGGTACAACATGGGTATTACTTAGTAAAGCTCATATTCTCCATTTGTGATATCAAATTGAAGACTTAACATATTAGTTCTTCAAAATATTACACATCCGCATGTATTTAAAAAAAGGCAGAGTGTAGGCACATAATTATTACATTGAGGTAAATAACAAAGACCAAGAACAAAGACTCAGTAAAGTCAGTAAGATCAGCTAACTTAATAAGGAACACATACTTTAATGTGAATATTTAATTACAGTTAAGAGTTCTATTCCAATATATAACAAGTACTTTCCAGAGTATAAAGTCATAAATAACCTAGTTGGTAAAAATCACTTTTAAAAGCTATGTAAAACTGATTAAATAAAATCAGGGTGTACCTATGTGAAACACTTATATAACCATTAAAGAAAGTGATAGAGCTCTACAATACTACAGAAAGGTGCCTATAATGATATCAAGTACTATAAAATGACTCAGCACAATCCCACAGCAATATCTTCAAAGTTTGAACAGGTATCTATCAAGCAGAGTTGCTACCTCTAGGTAGTATGTTCTATGTGACTTTTACTTGCTTCTTTATTCTTTTCTGTGCTGTTGGAAATTATCTCACCCTAACGGCAAGCATGAATTACAATTATAATTGGAATGAACTTACTTCTTTCTGTTCTATTCAATGTTGGGAGGGAGGGAAACAAAACACCTTGTGGGTGTGATTGTCCCAGAATGTTTTCCTACTGGAAAAGAATGCCCTGACTGCTAGCCTAATACATACTTACATTCAGCTGACAGTTAAAATTTTAGCATTAAGTTGAAAATTCAGTTGAATAAATTCAATTTTCCTAAGGCCGATGATAGTGAAATAGTCATATACAAAGTTCACCAGTATTCAATTAGCACAACCTAAGATAAATTTAACTACATGAAAGAACAATAAAACCTAATGGTTCCTAGGAATCAGGTCTTTTCAACAAATGGAAGAGCTCTGGAAATCATACATGCAAGCCCACACACATTGCATGCAATCATGTTAACAGCCTATCTCAAAACAGACATCATTACAGACATACTTAAATACCCCTTGGAATGTTGTGGTAGAACCAAGCTCTGAAGGACAAACAAACAAACAAACAAAAACTAAAATAAACAGGCAAGAGATTAAATATGACTACCAGGCACTGGTCCTCACATAAGACAAAATGAGTATATTCTCTTAATAGTAAGGTCTGAGACACAATCTATATACTACCAAAGGTACTGTGCAAAGTTATTTCAATTTTTTCTTTTGTAAAACAACTTAAAGATTGTTAATGAAGCCACAGGATTAAAAAACTCAAGAGTTTCTAACAAACAATGGCGTTACCTGAGTTTTTACTTGCAAAAAGCAACTGAGTGCGGTGGTGCACACGTGTACACCCTGTACTTTGGGTGGCTGAGGCATACAGCTCATGAGTTCAAGCCCAGGCTACGCAATTTAGTGAGACCCTGTCTCAAAGAAGGGCTAAGGTTCAGTGTGAAGGTTCTGGGTTTAAGGGAAAGGGAAAGGAAAGAAGTGAAATGAACCAAGTTCAGCAGCACACAAGGATTCCATCTACTCAGGAGACAAGGCAGGAGGATTCCAAGTTCAAAGCCAAATGAGTAACTTACAGGGACTTTGTCTCCAAAAGCAAAAATAAAATAAAAAAGGGTTGAGAATGTAGCTCAATTGATGGAGCCATAGCCTGGCATGCATCAGGCCCTGAGTTCAGTCCCTAAAACAGAAAGAAAGGAAAGGAGGTGTGTAAAAAGAAAACCCATAAAATAGTAGAAAATATTTATAAATCAAGTATCTGGTAAGGGATTTGTAATTAGACTATC